GGCCCCATGCGCTATTGGTTGAGCAGCATCCCCCAGCTCCTGCCCCATTCCTTCCCTCACCATGGGGGGCTTCCATGTACCCCTTCCCCTCCATTGATTTACCTGCAGGGAGCTGCTCTCCACACTGCCGGGCTTTATTCTTGGCCAAATGCATGCATGTGGCCATGCGCGTGCACACAGCGCCCCCTGCGTCTTGCTCCTTAAGCAGAACCCCTTCCAGGCTAGAATGCTGCCTGCCTGCAAGGGGAAACCTGCTGTTTCCTGAGGGAGCCCAGGCATCTGGGACCCCCGGTCCAGTGGTGGAGAGGGAAGCCAGGTGTCCAGGGCCTTGGCCAGAAGGCATAACTATGGCTAAACATTATTGGCTACAACAGCCACAGAAAGCCGCTAATGTCATTTTCTGCCTTGTCAGTGCACCTCTAATATAAACTTTTTTTTAAGTCTGTTTTGCGCTAAAGATACTGTGATTCGGTAACATAATTTTAAGGTTTGAATAAAGGGAACAGCCTGGCATGCTACACTGAGATGTTTTAGCTGGCCTAAATGGTTTCTTCAAAGTTCTGTGCTAGTTGAGAAACAATGGACAAATCATGTTTTTTCACCTTTTGCAGAGTGAACCAAGAGTGAGAGTAACTTATTTGTTCCTATTCTCATCTCAGGATTTTTTTCTGCTTTTATTAGAGCTGTTTAGCAGAAGCAACATGTGTCTTTAACTTTTTAGTATGGCTTTCTTCAGCTTTTCATCTGTTTCAATATTTGTGGAACTGACTGGTGGTAGGAGTATCTCACTAAAAAGGCTGCAGATGCGCAGTTCACAGTAGCTTATAAGAGCCTTTGTTGCACTTCCTTGAATCTTGTAGGGATTTTTTTTCCCCCCTGCCTTGGCTCAGGTGACATGATATGCTGATATCTGGCAGAAAATTTTTCAAAGTAGCTGAGCACGCCTATAGACTATGATGGAGCATCCACTGAAAGACAACCTTTTAAGAAAGATACAGGGTTCTCGGCTACACATAAATATTTAAATATGACAGAAGGTCATTTCCAGACATTTTCCTTTCTGTATCTGTGAATCCCCTCTCTCTTCCCCTGCACCCCCAC